GTACCGGGGGCTCTTTCCCCGGGGGTAAAGCGGCCTGGGTGTGAAGCTGACCACACACCTCAAACTAGTGCCAAGGTCAAGATAATATGGATCTATACATCTACTTCCCAATACGCCTTCATGGCGTAGCGCTTTATTAGTTAATTACAGGGACAACTTTACTTATGACATAATGTCGTTTCATAGGTTTTTACAATTGTTTCGGAGGCACCTGCTTCCTACATCTTCAGGTTAAGTTCCTCGGATATGTTAATAACTACTGTACCTACTGTTTTCTTTTCCTTGGCACTACAGCCCTAGTGGGCCTAGGCCTACCTCCATTAACTCAATTCACTTCGGTTTTTCTAGATCTTACATATTCGGCAGGACTCCTTGGGCGAGTGATCAGCTCGTCGCAAGGCCTCTACCTGTACACAAACACAGAAAACGCACACAAACATCCATGCCCTGAGTGGGATTCGAACCCACGATCCCGGCTTCCGAGCGAGCGAAGACAGTGCATGCCTTAGACCGCTAGACTACCGTGACCGGCTATAAATTAAGTATACACAACAATAAATAAGCACATAAAAAGTTATATACATCTATAGGCTATATATACCATATGTTACAGTTACTTCACGAATGTACCTTCAAACCCGAGCAATGTCGGAATGTTAGAATGTCGACAAGATCGCCTGAAAGTGAATGTTAATATACAGAACTAAATTATTAAATCCACGGAAAGTTAAGGTCCAAGTAACAGGTTCTCTAGCCGAACTGTTTGTATTCATGAAGTTACATATCTCATATCTCCTTCCGAGGTTCGTAATTCATATGCGAAATGGCAGCCTTGCAAAACCGATTTGGCAATGACCATACGCATTTTGGGCACTTCTTAAAACAAATCTGGTGAGGGTAAAAGTGATTCAATGTTGCACCTGCTACCGAATATGTCGCTTCTCGCGATGCCATATACATCAACAGAGTAATGCTTATTCAGATTGTAGTCTTCTGGGTTGTGACACCGTAGATTCTTGTAGTCGGATTCTCCAGTTCCGGAGAACATACTGTCACAATCATAAGGATTGGTGGCGGATGCTGCAATGTCGCACGAAACGTCGGTATCCGCATATAAGAGTACAAGGTGTCATAAACGCAGAAGACCACCCGTCGTCAATAGCTCAATATTACCCCGAGAAATTTTAATTTTTAAAATTTGGAAAAGAACGGAAAATTTAAAGATATTTTAATTTGAAATTGAAATTTTAAAAAGTGCCAATTTTGGAAATCAAATTGACGTGTGTAGGTTAACAAAGATTTTATACATACATACAATTGAAAAGACTGGTGTCTTAAATTTTAAACTACCGGCAGTGTAGCAGCTACGTAAGAATATACACCTGATGATGGCCATTTAGGGCCGAAACATGTAGTGTGGAGGAAGGAAAGAAGGAAGAACTACAATTAAATTGTTGCACTTAAGACGGAGTTTGTCTCATATATTGTGTGAGTGTAACAGGATGCTTAAATAATATTGTAAGCTCAAAACTTACGATGCTGCTTACTGGTGCCAAGGGTACAACTACGTGGATCTTTCTCCGGACAAATGCAAGCGCTGTTACAAATCTCTCTCCGTCAGTTGTGCATTAGTTGATCCCGTAAATCCAACAAACGTCCGCCTCTTTTATTCCTGGTGTAGCCCGATATTTTGATATGAGCCTTCGCCGAAAGGCGCTGTCATGCCCAATATTCCTGCTTTGTATTCGGAATATCCCGGGTTCAAATATGAGCACGAAGACCGCCAATCCTGACTGAAGTTCCAGTGTATTGCGCCAGTGCCTATAGAAAAGTCGGAATTACTTGCCAAAGAAGGCCACGACATTTCTTCCGCATTTTTCCCAAACTTTTTATTCACTGATCACCTTATCATTCGATACTATACAGGAGTAAATTAATCTGAGCTGTTCAAAGTGTGTTATATAAACATAAATAATTATGTGAGGTCTGTTAGTAGTTCGGTTTGCACTTAATTCCAGGTCAGCTCCTACCATGTGCGTTCCATCGTATTGTAACTTTAGATACCGCTATCCTTCCTTTTAGTTGTTGTAGAAACGTCGTTTTCAAGCAGCATGCTTAGTACTTTACACAACACACCCCCCACAGAAAGTAAATATAATGGCCTGAGATCTGGCGAACGTGGAGGCCAAGAAGTCTGTTCTCTTCCCTCTAAGCAGTTTTCGCTACACAACGTGTCACTTTGCTGGAACACGGCAGGAACACCTCCCTCAAGTTATGGAAACGTGTAGTTTTGCAGCATCTCCAAACAGGCCTATACATTACACATTACCATCTATTGTTTTCCTCGCGAAGGGAAACCTTACACTTATGTGCTTGTAAGTGCACGAGAGGCCACACAATCACCTCAGGAGAAGGCATGGTTGTTTAAATTCTGGGTATTTATTTGGTGGAACAGAACCCTAAGCTTGTAAAATATGTCCATTTAAAATCAGTAAAATGTGAAATATTTCGTTATAAAAAATTCTAAACGAAAGTAAGACACCTTTAAGCCCAAATGGAGACTTGACAATTATGGGCTGGGTATTATTATTATTATTATTATTATTATTATTATTATTTATTATACTGCGTATGTGGCGGATTACAAATGGAGCTATTAGACCAAATGAAATCGTGTATCGAAAATAAACCGAAAACCATTATTTACTGAAAGACAGCGTTTTGTTACTGGTCCAGCATTCAGTATCGTAAACAATTAGCCCGCCTGTTAATCAAATCTTGTTTTCTAAACATTAATCTGGCATTTAAACCTAAATCGCTAACTCGTTATGCGTAACTCCTAAATATTTAAGATTTTGATAATTCCAATATATATTTATATTATTAAATGATAATCTCAATGAAACGCAATCATATTTTCAATTACGCAAGTGTGGTCAGTTGATTGCAGTCCCTAGTGTTGAACCGTAGCAGCAGCAGCATCCTACACTGTGAACCTGCATAAGTAAATCAAATATTCAAATTACAATAACGATAATTCAGTTTTAAATATTAGGCCTACATGAATATCTGTCGCCCTGAAAATTGTAGTTTTCGCAACCAGAGAGAGACTTGAACAGATATTAGGCCTAAGCCTTTAAACGCTGATCAGCTTCTCACGTAGTGGGGGTAACTTATTTGCAAGCTCATAATTACAACTCATTGAGCCTCGCAAGTAGGCCTACATTCCTAGCGGACTAATCTCCGTAAACTGAATACAAAACATAGGCCCTAGAGGAATTCTTAGAATTATACTGGACAATATTTAGAGAAGACAATAAAGTAGAATACTCCATCACCTGCATAACAGAAAGAGAAGCTGCGCTGCTGTTGCAATAAACGTTTCGTAAACACTTTCCTAAAACAGTGAAACATCTGACAGTCTTCCGAACCCCAGTTTCTTTCATCTCAAGAATAAAATGCATTCTCTGAGATACTGTATCTTCACTTGCTGCTAGTACACATCGGTCATAGAGTTTATTGTTCGTATGTATGCAATGCACATGGTAAAATCTGTTGTTGAAACTGATAACCAGACGCAGAAATACATATTATATTATATACAGAAAAATGCTTGGAATGAAATATTTAGAAACAGGCTCAGGCCTATATGTGACACACGTGAGGTGACATTTGCACGTAAGACTCTTTTCGAAAAATTTAATATTGGATTTCATTCAAATGAGGCAGGGGCATTGTGGATAACAACTGAAGTCTACAGGCAAAATTACAATTGTAGACTTTTTAGATCGCTTTGTTTTTATTTAAAACAGGGAGATGGATAATATCCAAGAAGTTAGTAATTATATTTATATATCACCGTCGATAATATTCAGATCTTTTCTACAGATACATTTGAGTTAATATTCCCAGACGGAATTTCATCGACAAGTGTTAAGGTTGGGAGGGAAACATGGAGAGGGAGACATTCACGCACCAATGTGTCCTCCCCCTTCTGTATTTGATTAATACATCTGCTATCATAAAATATGAGTANACTACGGAATAATACTGGCACAGAGATTAAATAAGCTGCGCAGATGCATTTGCGGTAATTTTATATACTGAACAATATATATAGTAACCGAAAACGTTTATAATGTGTGACAAAATATAAATTGCTTATGAATTCCGATGAGGAATCTACTTTGCACATCAAATGGGGAGGGGGTAAAAACCGCTTCCATTGAAAAATCCTACACATATACTCATAACAGCAGTATGTTCATGTAATTTGCAAATCTCGTTTCGAGAAAGTAAAAGAAATCTCCGAAGTATCCATATGGCCATAATATCCAAAGTTTACTTCGAGATTTCCTAATGTAAACATAAGAATACTGCATTCTAGATAGCACGAGAATAGCCACTAAACCAAGCAAATTATACAAAACAGAATTTAACGCAATTGGTTCCCAGGAGTATACAATAGCTGAAGACATAGCCATTATCGTCCATGCATTAAAATTTACTCCTCATGGTATAAGAATGGAAAATAATTTCAATATACGCCTTTAAATCATCTGTAACAATAAAACATCCTTACAAAACTCAAACATAAAACGTACTTACATGAGCAAGGTGTTAATTACAGAGCTGATATTAAATGGAACTACATCTCTGAATTATTCAAGGATGAATTTGTTCAGTTTTCAGTGACAAAATTTATGGTCAAATTTGGGATTAATTTCTGGTCGTAATCATTTATAAGACCTATTTAATGAAGCGATTTAAAGTGACATTAGTGAAACTACAGAGCAAGTTAGCTCCTAATGTGCAAGCCCGCCAATACACAAAAAGAACTGTAACATTAATGAACACAAAGTGACGAAGCACATGTCATGCTAATTAATCGTGGTGAACAGAGTACGAAAACATAATAAAGCCAGACGCCCTCTTCCGTCCCTCCCAACACGCCCCCACTTGGCAATTTACGGGCAGGCATGTGCACCCCAAACACTCACCGTTTAAGATGGCACCTCACAGGGAATCATTGTGGATGACGTCTTCTGCGTGTCGCCAAAGAAGACAGATGTTGACCGACGAAGTTTGTCATCGTTGATGGGGCAGTTGTAGCCGTACAGTTGAAACAGCGACGAAGTTAACAGAGAAGACAGTAACAGAAGTGAAACTGATCGTTTAGCAGTCCCCGGAAGTAGCAGCCGTTTCTACTACTCTACCTTGAGAGTGAAAACGTGGAACTATTAAAAAAACAAAAGGAGGGGTAAGAGTCACAAACAACAAAAAAGAAACTAGGGGGGCGTGATGTGTGATTGCCGTTGTTAAGCAGTGATAATACAGTTTTGTGGTACTGCGAATCCAGTCGCTAGGAGCCAGTGCCTAGCTGTCTCGATGGCGATACGTGAGTTAAGTGTTTGGCGATGCTTTACGGCTGCTGCTGTAGTTGGGGAGTCCTCTCCTAGCATTTCCCCCACCCCCCTTTGTCCTCAGCTCTATGTAGCCGCCGCTATCCGGTACACAGAGTATAGGTCCACAAACCCATTGTGGGCCCGGGGGGGAGCAGGGGAATTTCAGAGAGAGAGAGAGAGACCACAGTTTGATGGAACTCGGCGGCAGTGCGGAGGGGCTAAGGGGGGAAATTTTAACCCCAGCAACGATGGGCGGAGAGCAAAGGAGTGAGACAGTGAAAGGGATAACGGATGAGAAGGGAAGAGAAGGAGTGATAGGCATGAATGACGAGGAGGGGATGAAGTGGTGGAGGGTGTTTGAACGTAACGAGAAGGGGGGGACAACACGAGAGGAAGGAAGGGGACAACTCACACATCCACACATCCATACTCACACACATAAACCATTGCTATCTCATTCCCGCCCTGATTCAGCTCTGCTTCTCACATCTCGCTTGAACACATGGGGGATACAATTGCCCGGAGTGACGTAACGCACCCACGTGATCACGACCAAACTCCCAATCACGTCACCTTGCACCGTATCAGAACCGAAAATTGCAAAAATAAATACACACTAACAAAAATTCTGGCTTTAGCCACAAGAAGAAACAGGTAACATAAAAATATGTGTATTTGCAGCTAGCGACGAAGTTGTTACCGTACTGTTGGTGGGTACGACTAGTGCATTCAAGAAACGGCACTACATAAAGGTCGGCGTGACACACACACACACACAGTCACTTCAGCTTGTGGTCACCGGCTATGTGATCTTACACAAGATTCGATGTTCGTTTTAAATTTCGCGCCAGGTGATCCGACAACGCTACTGCATGAATTGTTAGCAGACGCAATAAGACAGTGCTCACATGAAAAGTCTGGATAAGCTGGGTTCAGTGTTCACTGAACAGTACTAGTTAGATCACTGTGTGGTCAACCGTGTCCAGACGTGACACATTCCCTCTCTGTTCTAGCGTACGCTAGAACAGAGAGGGAATGTGAATTTTTATTTCAAACTGCAGAAATCGCCAATTGAAACGTTAGAGATGTTAAAAACAGTTTACGATGAATCTACTATGAGTAAGAGTAATATTTTTAAGTGGCACAAACGTTTCAGAGAAGGCGGAGAAGAAGTGAACGACGATAAAAGGGCAAGGTGCTCTCGTAACGAAGCGAACGGACGAAAATGTGGCGAGAATGAGGGAACTTGTGCGATCTGACCTCCGGTTAACTTGCAGGATGCCAGTTGGTGAGCTTGATGTGAGCAAGAGACTGCTAGGGACATTGTAGTGCAGGATCTTGGCATGAGAAAGTTAGCAGTTAACTTGCAGGGTGACAGCTGGTGAGCTTGATGTGAGCAAGAGACTACTAGGGACATGGTAGTACAGGATCTTGGCATGAGAAAGTTAGCAGTTAACTTGCAGGGTAACAGCTGGTGAGCTTGATGTGAGCAAGAGACTGCTAGGGACATGGTAGTACAGGATCTTGGCAGGAGAAAGTTAGCAGTTAACTTGCAGGGTGACAGCTGGTGACCTTGATATGGGCAAGAGACTGCTAGGGACATTGTAGTAGTGGGTCTTGGCATGAGAAAGTTAGCAACGAAGCTCGTGCCGCGGACAGGCGTCTCACTTTGTGCACGGACTTTGCGGAACTACTTCAAGAAGATAACTTTTTACATGTCATCACTGGTGATGAAACATGATGTCATCAGTATGATTCTGGGGCCAGAAGCCAGTTCATGGAGTGGAGATCGAAGAATTCCCCCAGACCAAAGAAGCCACGGTTGTCAAAGTCCAAGATCAAAATAATATTGATCTGCTTTTTCGACATCTGGAGTATCATCCACTTTGACTTTGTACCCGAAGAGGCCACTGTTAACCAGACATTCTAAGTGGAGATACTGAAAAGGCTTCTTGATGCTGTGAGGCGCAAGCAAGTGGAGCTGTGGAGAGATCACTCGTTGTTTCTTCAACACGACAAAGCACTGGCATATTCCTCACTTCGAGTGTCGCAGTTTTCAGCAGGAAAAGCATCTCCGCCATGGATCATCCGCCATATTCTCCTAACTTGGCTTCAGCTGACTTCTGGCGATTTCCAAAACAGAGGAGAGTGCTGAAAGGGAAGCGTTTCTCAGACGTTGAGGACATTAAATCATCTGTGAAAATATTTTGACAGACATATTTTACAGGTTATAAAAAATGTTTCGAACAATGGCTGAAGTGCTTGGTACATTGTAGTGAACTGGAGGCAGATTACTTTGAAAAATTCTAGGTTGTTAATATATGCAGTTCTTAAAATAAATTAAAAAAATAATCTCGAAACTTACTTTACCCAACCTTGTGTCTATGACAAATTATTAACACCGATAATGACTGGCTTAGCAGTAAAAGCAAAATGTGTGTAGGTACAAGTTGATAGAAATGCAGTGACATAAAATGACTTCAAAAACATTGGCAAAATATGACATTTGAAGTTTCCACGGCGGTCAAGACATCAGTATGGTTGATGACACCGTTATCTTGGTAGGTGCGTTAAATATGTGTCCACCTTATGGACCAGGATACGGCATAGACTGTGTGGGTAACTTTACCAAAGAAAATGTCCCGTGTACATAATTATATTTGAACTTCCCGCCGACATATGAATACTAGAAGTGTGTTGAAAATATGTCTGATAACTTTCTAATAATGACGTAACGGTCTACTAGTATATCACTAACTCATGAAGATTCACTCACTCACAGAGTAGTTGAAGCATACTAACATCTTGGAGTAAACTTCTGACGCCAACTTCTGAGTATTCTCAAATTATGAAATTATTATCGATGCTTCTTGACAGATTAATCAGCAAAACAATTCAGTCCCTATGAACGGTGAATAGCTAAATTTGTACTGTTCATTTATTACTGCGAATTAGGATGTTCATATCAAGCAGGATAAGACGGGCGTTAGGCGTACATGGAGCAGGTGGAATTAAAAACTCATATTTTGTCGGTAACCTTGAAGGTAAGACACAATTTAGACGACATTGCCATAGTTGTGAGGAAAACGTTCGGTTTTGTGAATACGATAATGGTTATCTGAATTTATAAATGTGGAGAATTTCTTGACCAGCATAGTGGCTCTCTGCTTCTAGAGAAATACTATGCTCCAGCGCTTACTAACTAACTAACTTCATGCATCTGAACACTCCTTGAGAATTCGCCAATTGTGCAGCTACTCATGAACTTTCAAGCATTTTATGCAACCCGAAAGTTCATTACCGAGTTCACAAGAGCCCTCTACTGATCCCTATCCTGAGTGAGATCGATCCAGTCCATACCCAATACCAACCCATTCTGTCTCTCTAAGATCCATTTTAATATTGTCCGCCTGTATAAGGCTTTGTCTTCCCAGTGGTCTCTTTCCTTCTAGCTTTCCCATAAATATGAATGAATGAATGAATGAGTGTATAATGGGTGGTCCTTTTCGGCCCTTGCACAGCGACCTACAGTGATCTATTGTGCTCTTCCCATCAATATCCTATTCTCCCCGATTCATGCTACATGACCTGCACATATCATCCTACTTGGCTTGATCATTCTAATTATATTTAGCTAAGAGTACAAGTTATGAAGTTCCTAATTATGTATTTTCTCCAACCTCCCGTCACTTAATCTCTCTTCGATGCAAATATTCTCCTCAGCACTATGTTCTCACTTATTTAGTTAGTTTAGTTCCAGAATAACTGCACTAACCAGGCCCGTTATCAAGACAGAATTATCAACTTTTGTTAGGAACCAGTCTTCCTCTTCTGCAGACTGTAATACCGGTCTCAAAAATGAGACCAGATGCATAGCTCTATTTCTGGAAATCCGTTAAGTATGAAGGCTTGAAGATGATTAAAATAATAGGCCAATTAATAATAATAATACAGGGTGAGCCAAAAGTTACAGCGTTCATCTGTACTACATATGTAAAGCCTCCAGCACAGGCACAGAAGACGAGCCGAGCCCCTCGTGCGGCAGCAGAACGGAGAGTGCTGAAGAAGCGCTTGCATCTCTACACGGTCACTTCAGTGCACGAATAGAAAGGCGGGGACAACGTCAAGCGTTCTGAATTCTGCTGATGGTTTAGAGACGTAACTACTGCCAACGGAGAGGACATTCTGGACGTCATACTTTTTAACGATGATGAGGGTATGTTTCATTTATCCGGTTGTTACAAGAGCCGAAACAGCCTCGTTCGGTCAGCAACTAATTTGCATGGGATCAAGGGATCACAACCACATGATCAGAAGTTGGTGTGTGGTGCGCCATATCACGAAATTGGATAATCGGCGCCATATTCTTCAATGACGCTATCAACTAGGACCGCTTTTGGGAAATAATTCTTTATTCCTCGGGTATACATTTAAATGAAGCCGAAATTGCCAGCGGCCACTTCCAGCGGGACGGTGCTATAGCGCACACAGCTCGCGTTTCCAAGACGCTACTGCAGCGCATGCTCAGGGGACTGAATTATTTCAATCGACATTTGACCATCACGATCGCTCGATCATATATATTTTTCTTCCTTCGTACTACAGCCCCAGTGGGCCTAGGCCTACCTCCATGAACTTCTCCGTTCACTTCAGTTTTTCTAGATCTTACACATTCGGTAGGACTCCTTGGGCGGGTGATCAGCTCGTCGCAAGGCCTCTACCGGTACACAAACTCAGAAAAACGCACACACACAAACTAAACATCCATGCCCTGAGTGGGATTCGAACCCACGATCAAGGTTTCCAAGCGAGCGAAGAAAGTACATGCCTTAGACCGCTCGGCTACCGTGACCGGCCGCCCGATCATATACCTCCTAATTATTATCTGTTGGGAGCAGTGAAAGGAGCTATCCTCAGACTCTCGTTGAACTGAAGGAGGCAATCGCAGACTTCATCAGAAATATCCCTCCGACTGAAATGCTTCGTGTCTCTGCAAACAATTTATGACGCGTAGATGCGTGTCT